ATTAATTTGTGAAGACTTGTAATCTATAAACTTCCCTCGTCTAAAAACATATTACAGGGAATATAAAATGATTTCCTGGGGAAGGAAAAGAAATGGGGGGGGGGGCTGCAGAGACACAGTAACACGGGGGGGGGGCTGCAGAAACTGTGACGCCCTCCCACCTCGGTGACATTGTGATCTCTCTGGTGTTGTTTTAAAATACATTTCTGGTTAAAACATTTCCCGCACTCTAAAGATGTCAACTAAAGCTCATCCTTGTGTTTTCTCTGGTGTCTCTGAAGGCCTCTTTAATGAATGTAACATTTCCCGCACAGTGGACACGGAAAGGGACATTTTGCCATCTCCAATGTGAAAAGTAGGCATTTTTTATTGCACAGTTTCCAGCACTCCATACAGGATTATGGCTCCCCGTAGTGATTTCTCACGGCACGCCATGGAATTTTGTTTCTGTTATAAAGACGTCCTTTCTGATTAAAAGATTTCCCACACTAAACATGTAAAATAAAGCTCATCCTTGTGTCGTCTCTGAAGGCGTCTTTAATGAATGTAACATTTCCCGCACTCTAAAGATGTCAAAGAAAGCTCATCCTTGTGTCTTCTCTGGTGTCTCTGAAGGCGTCTTTGATGGATGTAACATTTCCCGCATTCTAAGGATGTCAAATAAAGCTCATCCTTGTGTCGTCTCTGAAGGTGTCTTAAATGAATGTAACATTTCCTGCACTCTAAAGATGTCAAATAAAGCTCATCCATGCGTCTTCTCTCTGGCGTCTCTGAAGGCGTCTAATGAATGTAACATTTCCCGCACTCTAAAGATGTCAAAGAAAGCTCATCCTTGTGTCTTCCTCTGGTGTCTCTGAAGGCGTCTTTGATGGATGTAACATTTCCCGCATTCTAAGGATGTCAAATAAAGCTCATCCTTGTGTCGTCTCTGAAGGTGTCTTAAATGAATGTAACATTTCCTGCACTCTAAAGCAAATAAAGCTCCATGCGTCTTCTCTGGCGTCTCTGAAGGCGTCTAATGAATGTCATTTCCCGCACTCTAAAGATGTCAAAGAAAGCTCATCCTTGTGTCTTCTCTGGTGTCTCTGAAGGCGTCTTTGATGGATGTAACATTTCCCGCATTCTAAGGATGTCAAATAAAGCTCATCCTTGTGTCGTCTCTGAAGGTGTCTTAAATGAATGTAACATTTCCTGCACTCTAAAGATGTCAAATAAAGCTCATCCATGCGTCTTCTCTGGCGTCTCTGAAGGCGTCTAATGAATGTAACATTTCCCGCACGGTGGACACGGAAAGGGACGTTTTGCCCACTTGTCATCTCCAATGTGAAAAGTAGGTGTTTTTGATTGCACAGTTTCCCGCACTCTATACAGGATTATGGCTCCCCATAGTGATTTCTCACGTGCCTATAGAGACTGTCTCTGCGAGTAAAATATTTACCGCAATCCGAACAGGAAAATGGGCGCTCGCCCGAGTGACTTTTCTGGTGCTTAATAAGGTACTTTTTGAGGCGGAATGATTTCCCGCACTCGGAACAGGAATGGAGAAGCTTGTCCGTGTGGGTTCTCTGGTGTCGAAGAAGGTCTCCTTTCAGGGTGAAACTTTTCCCGCAGTCTGAACAGGCATACGGGCGGACGCCGCTGTGAAATTTCTTGTGCCTCAGAAGACTCTCTTTCCAGGTGAAACCTTTCCCACACTCTGTGCACAAAAAAGCACGCTCGCCCGTGTGACTATTCTGATGATTCATAAGGTATCTTTTCTGATTGAAACTCTTCCCGCACTCTGCGCATGTAAAGGGAAGCTCGCCCGTGTGAACTCTCTGGTGCGTAAGGAGGTATCTTTTTTGACTATAACATTTACCGCACTCTGAACAGGAGTACGGCTTCTCTCCAATTTCGTCTTTGACATCAGTCTCCGGGCTTTTCTTTTGCGGTAAACTGTTTTCTTGCTCAGAGGGCTTCTCGGCGGGATGAATTTCCTCCTGTTTAACAATGTCCAACGTCTCTATGAACGATTCCTCACTCTCAGAGCATGAGAAGGTCGTCCCGGCCGTCTCGGCACTTTGCTTCTCTTGAAGCTTTGATTTCGTTTTTAGAGATTTCCTGCAGACTGACTGTGTCGGCTGCTCCCCTGTGTGGGTTCGTTGGTGTAGGATGAGCATACCCCTGAGCGCGAAGGTCTTCTCACAAGTTCTACACGTGTACTTTTTCTTGCCCATGTGGGTTCGCTGGTGTTTGATAAGCGTATCTTTCCATGAGAAACATTTCCCGCACTCGGAACATGAGAAAGGTCTCTCGCCTGTGTGAATTCTGAGATGCCTCCTCAAATGACCTCTCTGCATGAAGGACTGACCGCACTCTGTGCACACAAAAGGCCTTTCACCCGTGTGGTATCTCAAGTGACTGACGAGGTCTCCTTTGCCTATGAAACATTTCCCGCACTCCGGACAGGGATAGGGGCGCACGCCCGTGTGTTGACTCACGTGTCTAGTAAGGTGCGATTTACATATGAAACATTTCCCACACTCTGAACACAGGTAGGGTCGCACTCCACTGTGAATTTTTTTGTGAAAGACGAGATGTGATTTTGTGTTGAAACACTTCCCGCACTCGGAACATGAAAATGGCCGCTCTCCCGTGTTTCGCATGTGATGCCCGGTAAGAGCTGATGTCGACGTTGGGCTTTTTTTGTCATTGGGATGCGGAATGATGTCTTCATTTTTGTGACCATCGTTATGAGAATGACCATGAGAAGGTTCCTTGGGCGTAAAAGAATCCGGGGTCCAACCGGCAACGTGACTTCTTGGGAAGGACTTCAAGGTGAAAGCATGCAACTTATCGAAATGGTTCTCAGGATTCACGGGATCTGCTGGTCTGTCTGAATATATATTTTGTGGTGGCCGTATGGAATTGATGAGGAAGAACATCGGAAGGATCTGCTGGTCTATCTTGACAGTAAAGTCTCTGAGTGGTGTGCTTGACTTCTGGAGAACGTTCTACGGTCCCATAATCCGGAGAGGAGAGAGGACATCTCATGGAGGTATTGCAGACATTGTATTCATCTGAGGAAAAGAAAATAAACATTGTGGTCACCGTGTACATTCATTGACATTGGTTGGGTGAGGAATGGACCTTCCATATGGTGTCCAGTATCTCCTCATTTGTTGGAGACATGACGTTATATTGAGGAATGGAGATGGACCTTTCATATGGTGTCCAGTATCTCCTCCTCATTTGTTGGGAACGTGACGTTATATTGAGGAATGGAGATGGACCTTCCATATGGTGTCCAGTATCTCCTCCTCATTTGTTGGGAACGTGACGTTATATTGAGGAACGGAGATGGACCTTTCATATGGTGTCCAGTATCTCCTCCTCATTTGTTGGGGATATGACGTTATATATCTCCTCCTCATTTGTTGGGAACATGACATGAGGAATGGAGATGGACCTTTCATATGGTGTACAGTATCTCCTCCTCATTTGTTGGGAACATGACATTATATTGAGGAATGGAGATGGACCTTTCATATGGTGTCCAGTATCTCCTCCTCATTTGTTGGGAACATGACGTTATATTGAGGGACGGAGATGGACCTTTCATATGGTGTCCAGTATCTCCTCCTCATTTGTTGGGAACATGACGTTATATTTGAGGAATGGAGATGGACCTTTCATATGGTGACCAGTATCTCCTCCTCATTTGTTGGGAACATGACCTTATACTGAGGAATGGAGATGGACCTTTTATTTTATATATATATATATATATATATATATATATCTGTTGGGCGCATAAGGTGGTGGTGTAGGTTCATTGATGATGTTTCTAGTGACAGCAATGGGGATTACTAAACTTTATTATAATTAACAAATGTGCTTTTCCTTTTAAATTCCATTTTCCTCTTACCCGGCGTTATGAGAATCTCCTGATTCTCCATCTTGACATCCTTGTAGAGGTCCTTGTGTCCTTCTAAATACTCCCACTCCTCCATGGAGAAATAGACAGTGACATCCTGACACCTTATAGGAACCTGACACACACAATGATACAGTCACCATCCAGACACATCCCTTGTCTGTTACTGGAGAATATCCCAGAATTCCCGGCACCGCTCACCTCTCCTGTCAGCAGCTCCATCATCTTCTTCGTAGCTTCTAGGATCTTCTGCATGTTGTTCTCTTCAGGTGTCAAGGAGTGAAGTGGAGGCACTGGGATGGTCACCTGGTCACCAGACTTCACAGGGGGAAAACTCTGTATTGGAAAAACAAATTCAAGACCAAATTATTCTTCCACCATCCTCCTCACGTATAAAGCCACAGTTATGTTTTAGTAATCACGTGTCATGTGACCTCCCAGGATCTTCACCTCTCCTGTCAGCAGGTAGATGATCTCCAGGGTGAGGTTTAAAATCTTCTCAGTCATGTGACTCCGTTCCTCTCCCATCCTCGTTGTGGTGGTCATGTGGTCTATGCAGGACGTTTCTCTGTGTAGAAGGATAATAAATGATGAATTATCTGGACAGTACTGACATGGTTAAAGTGGAAGTCCAGGCTAAACGTATCCAATCTTAAATCTACTCCCACCCCTAGTCTAACTAGAGGAAAGATGTGAATACCTACCTATTCTCAGGGCGCTCAAGTCAAGTCAATGCCGGCTTCAGGGGAGAGGAGGGACAGCAGACCACGAATGTTCTGTAGAAGGTCTATGAATGATGCCACCACCCAGGCATTGTAGCCATTGTCGCTGCTCTCTCCTCTCTCTGGAAGCTGGAGGCTGGGGAGATGACATGACCAGACTGGTCGAGAAACTCTACCCCATACTTTGAGTCTCAGTCAATGAGATCAGTACATTTGTCTATATGCACATTATTCGTAAATGTCTATTTTAGAAGCCTCGTCCTATTAGTGTCACAGGGAAGAGGATACACCGTGCCCATTGTTCTCGCCCTGAATTCAACTTACCTTTGGAGGCATCTATGGAGGGAATAGTATTCCAGTAGTTCTGGATCTAAATTTAGGCTGTCTCTAGGCTTTAAACCAACAATTCTGGATGAACACTTGGATAAATGGGTAAGACAGCCTCCTTTATCAGCAAGAGAGGAGTGTGGAGGGTAGGACATTGGGTAGTATGTGAAGGAGAAGCGTACAGAAAGTAGGACATTGGGTAGTATGAGAAGGAGAGGATTATGGAGGGTAGGACATTGGGAAGTATGTGAAGGAGAAGCGTACAGAAGGTAGGACATTGGGTAGTATGAGAAGGACAGGAGTATGGAGGGTAGGACATTGGGTAGTATGTGAAGGAGAGGAGTACCAAGGGTAGGACATTGGGTAATATGTGAAGGAGAGGCATAAGGAAGGTAGGACATTGGGTAGTATGTGAAGAAGAGGAGTATGGAGGATAGGACACTGGGTAGTATGAAAAGGAGTGGAGTATGGAGAATAGGACATTGGGTAGTATAAGTAGAGGTGTAAGGAAGGTAAGACACTGCGTAGTATGTGAAGAAGAGGAGTATGGAGGTTAGGACATTGGGTAGTATGTGAAGGAGAAGTGTTCAGAAGGTAGAACATTGGGTAGTATGAGAAGGAAAGGAGTATGGAGGGCAGGACATTGGGTAGTATGTGAAGGAGAAGCATACGGAAGGTAGGACATTGGGTAGTATGAGAAGGAGACGAGTGTGGAAGGTAGGACATTGGGTAGTATGAGGAGAGGAGTGTGGAGGGTAGGACATTGGGTAGTATGTGAAGAAGAGGAGTATGGAGGATAGTACATTGGGTAGTATGAGAAGGAGAGGAGTATGGAGGATAGGACATTGGGTAGTATGAGGAGAGGTGTAAGGAAGGTACGACACTGGGTAGTATGTGAAGAAGAGGAGTATGGAGGTTAGGACATTGGGTAGTATGTTGAGGAGAGGAGTGTGGAGGGTAGGACATTGGGTAGTATGAGGAGAGGAGTGTGGAGGGTAGGACATTGAGTAGTATGTGAAGGAGAGGCGTACGGAAGGTAGGACATTGGGTAGTATGAGAAGGAGAGGAGTATGGAGGGTAGGACATTGGGTAGTATGGGAAGGAGAGGAGTGTGGAGGTTAGGACATTGGGTAGTATGTACAGGAGAGGAGTGTGGAGGGTAGGACATTGGGTAGTATGAGGAGAGGAGTGTGGAGGGTAGGACATTGAGTAGTATATGAAGGAGAGGCGTACGGAAGGTAGGACATTGGGTAGTATGAGAAGGAGAGGAGTATGGAGGGTAGGACATTGGGTAGTATGGGAGGAGAGGAGTGTGGAGGGTAGGACATTGGATAGTATGTGAGGGAGAGGAGTATAGAGGGTAGGACATTGGGTAGTATGAGAAGGAAAGGAGTATAGAGGGTAGGACATTGGGTAGTATGAGAAGGAGAGGAGTATGGAAGGAAGGGCATTGGGTAGTATGCGAAGGGGAAGAGTGTGGAGGGTAGGTCATTGGGTAGTATGTGAAGGAGAGTAGTGTGGAGGGTAGGACATTGGGTAGTATGTGAAGAAGAGGAGTATGGAGGATAGGACATTGGGTAGTATGAGAAGGAGAGGAGTATGGAGGATAGGACATTGGGTAGTATGAGGAGAGGTGTAAGGAAGGTACGACACTGGGTAGTATGTGAAGAAGAGGAGTATGGAGGTTAGGACATTGGGTAGTATGTACAGGAGAGGAGTGTGGAGGGTAGGACATTGGGTAATATGAGGAGAGGAGTGTGGAGGGTAGGACATTGGGTAGTATGTGAAGGAGAGGAGTATGGAGGGTAGGGCATTGGGTAGTATGAGAAGGAGAGGAGTGTGGAGGGTAGGACATTGGGTAATATGAGGAGAGGAGTGTGGAGGGTAGGACATTGGGTAGTATGACAAGGAGAGGAGTATGGAGGGTAGGACACTGGATAGTATGTGAGGGAGAGGAACGAGGAGGGTATGACTGTGGGCAGTATTTTCAGACATGATGTGACAAAATGCGTTGGGCACTGGGAGGGGTGGAATGCGCAGTAGGACTTGGTTAGGATGGGATAATGGTTCTCGAAATTAGATGCCAATAGAGCCCATGGTACATCTTCAATGTCCATCAGATACAGACTTATCTAAGCACGCTAAGAGCACCGCTACATGGAATAGAAAGCCCGATGGACTCGCTGATGGAAATTCCAGGACATTCTAGGTTATTTGTAGGCAGAGGAGAACAGTGAATGGGTTATCATATTTACATACCAATAAACTCTGTATAAGTATCTTCTGGACATAAAAGACGTCACAGTGACTACGGAGGAAGAGGACGGACATGGCGAGGGAGGAAGAGGACGGACATGGCGAGGGAGGAAGAGGACAGACATGGTGAGGGAGGAAGAGGACGGACATGTCGATGGAGCAAGAGGACGGACATGGAGGAAGAGGACGGACATGGCGATGGAGGAAGAGGATGGACATGACGATGGAGGAAGAGGACGGACATGACGATGGAGGAAGAGGATGGACATGACGATGGAGGAAGAGGACGGACATAACGGGGGGGTTACTGTGTGTAAATATAAAATAATATCTTATTACCTCCTCTGTTGCCAGTTCCAGCAATGTCTCCTCTCTACTTCCTCCCGACTCACTTCGGACCTGGAACTACCAGTCTTTATGTGACATCACTTCCTGTGGGTGAGCCACTGAAAATCATGTAGTTCGCCATCTTGTGGTGAGCATGGTAGCTAGAGGCTTCCATATTTTTTTAGTCCTCTGACTACTACTGGCTGATGTTGAAAATAGACATTTGAGTGAAACGAAGCCTGGTTTTCCGAGGTGCAGCTTGGCTAATGAAGACATCAATGTTCTTGTCCTTAAATAGCCAGAGAATATGTAAAATAAGGGACAAGTAAACTCTTGAACCTGACTTCTGGTGGTCATATCCTGTCATGGTTTCCAAAAAACACCACATTTTCTGCCTGGTCTATCCAATTTAAAGGTGTAGGCTGGACAATGAAGACATAAAAGTCCCCATCCTTAAATAGCCAGAGAATATGAAAAATATGGGGTGAGGGAGCTCATGAACCTGACTTCCGGTGGTCACATCCTGTCATGGCTTCCAAAAAACACCACATTTTCTGCCTGGCCTTTCTGATTTAGAGGTTCAGGTTGGTAATGAAGACATAAAAGTCCTCATCATTAAATAGTCAGAGAATATGAAAAATACGGGGTGAGGGAGCTCATGAACCTAACTTCTGGTGATCATGTCCTGTCATGGCTTTCAAAAAACACCACATTTTCCACCTGGCCTTTCTGATTTAGAGGTGCAGATTGGTAATGAAGACATAAAAGTCCCCATCCTTAAATAGCCATAGAATATGAAAAATATGGGGGGAGGGAACTCATGAACCTGACTTCCGGTGGTCATGTCCTGTCACAACTTCCAAAAAACACCACATTTTCTGCCTGGTCTACCCAATTTAAAGGTGTAGGCTGGACAATGAAGACATAAAAGTCCCCATCCTTAAATAGCCAGAGAATATGAAAAATACGGGGTGAGGGAACTCTTGAACCTGACTTCCGGAGGTCATGTCCTGTCATGGCTTCCAAAAAACACCACATTTTCTGCCTGGCCTTTCTGATTTAGAGGTTCAGGTTGGTAATGAAGACATAAAAGTCCCCATCCTTAAATAGCCAGAGAATATGAAAAATATGGGGTGAGGGAACTCATGAACCTAACTTCTGGTGGTCATGTCCTGTCATGGCTTCCAAAAAATAATACATTTTCAGCCCCTGGTCTACCCAATGTAAAGGTGTAGGCTGGACAATGAAGATATCAAAGTCCCCGTCCTTAAATAGCCAGAGAATATGAAAAAATAAGGTACTAGGGAACTCTTGAACCTTACTTCTGGTGGTCATGTCCTGTCATGGCTTCGAAAAAAAACATCACATTTTCAGCCTGGTCTTCCTGATACAAAGGTGCAGGTTGGTTAATGAAGACATCAAAGTCCTCACCCTTAAATAACCAGAGAATGAAATATAAGGGACTAAGGAAGTCTTGAACCTGCCTTCCAGTGGTTATGCCCTGGCATGGCTTCCAAAAACACTACATTTTCATAAAAAAACAAAATGTAATACGCTAACAAAACCATTATTTGGTATACCCATCTAGTGACCTTCAACTGGTCCCTCTTTATGGCATGAAATGTGCCATAGCGAATATATATGTGCCTCCTCCCTTCACCACTGAGGTTCTCAAACTCTTGGTGCAGCTTCTGGCTGACTTTTGGCTAGGCTGGTGTTGGCAGTGGGCAAGTTTTACTACTTCTGGCATTCCACATTGGATAAACATGTTGGCTGTTGGACACCCTATGCTTGATTTTGCAACCTCATTGGGGAAACTATGCAGAGAGCAGGGTTTGGTGGATCTTTGGTGCATGTTGCATCCCACTACAGACCAAAATCTTTTGGATGATTGAAGAGATTCTCTGCTTTATGCTGCTCATCTCTTCTGCCACTTGAGACCCAGATGTCAGGGGCAATAAAAGCCATCTCCACTCACAGATCGCACGGTGGATAAAGGGGAAGCCACCACATATCGGAAAGATCACAATAAGGAGGCACTAGCAGATATCGCAGGAGGAGGATCAGCAAACCAGAGGATCAGCAGAGCTGTGGGTTACTACTGAGTGGGGGATCAGCAGAGCTGAGGGTTACTACTGAGTGGGGGATCAGCAGAGCTGGGGGTACTACTGAGTGGGGGAACAGCAGTGCTGGGGGTTACTACTGAGCAGGGGATCAGCAGAGCTGGGGGTTACTACTGAGTAGAGGATCAGCAGAGATGGGGGGTTACTACTGAGTGGGGGATCAGCAGCTGGGGTTACTACTGAGTGGGGGATCAGCAGAGCTGGGGGTTACTATTGAGTGGGGGATCGGCAGAGCTGGGGTTACTACTGAGTGGGGGATCAGCAGAGCTGGGGGTTACTACTGAGTGGGGGATCAGCAGCGCTGGGGTTACTACTGAGTGGGGGATCAGCAGCGCTGGAGTTACTACTGAGTGGGGGATCAGCAGAGCTGGAGGTTACTACTGCGTGGGGGATCAGCAGAACTGAGGGTACTACTGAGTGGGGCATCAGCAGTGCTGGGGGTTACTACTGAGCAGGGGATCAGCA